GGTCCCTCCTCAGTCCTCTTTTGCATTCTTCTGTCTTAAGATTGTGCGGTAGACTGAAACGAGGCGGCCAATAGTTCTCAGGAATCTTCAGACATTCTTCAGATGTTCCTTAGATGTTCTTCGGACAATTTCAAGACAATTTTCAGTCATTTTCAGTCATTTTCTGTCTTTTCTCTGTCAATTTTCGGTCACTCTCAGTCATTTTCAGTCATTCTCGGTCATTTCAGTCATTCTCAGTCATTTCAGTCTTTCTCACTCGTTTTCACTTTCAGTCAGTTTCAGTCATTTTCAGTCAGTCCTTTTCAGTCCTTTTCAGTCCTTTTCAGTCATTTCCAGTCATTTTCAGCCTCCTTCAGACCTCTCAGACATTCTCAAGGAGGCCACATGGAAGGTGGGCCGGGATCAGGCAGGGTGCACTGGTGCCCCCCAGTGGCCCGACTGGGTCCCGGCCCGAGGATTTGACTTGGAAAATAGGATAGCAGCAATGGGACGCTGGATCCGTTTTCCAGCAGGATATCTCATGTCTTCCTATGATCCTCATCTAAAATGTAAGGGACGCTGGACCCGGTTTCCAGCAGGTGCTGCTCCCCACCAATAGATGGAGCATGCCTGGGGGTACTAGCAGGTGCTGCTCCCCACCAATAGATGGAGCCTGCCTGGGGGTACTAGCAGTGGCTGCTATGTCAGCACCGCTAGCACCACCCAGGGKGTGTAAAAAAAAAAAAAAAAAAAAAAAAAAAAACGTAAGAGACAACATGAGGGGTATAGATAAAAATGGATGAAACCCAACTCCGGCGCAGTTAGGCAATCTTGCCACTGTACTAGAAAGTAATAATGCAAAGAAACAAACAACACTCCAATTTGGTAGTTTCTGACCATTACACAAGGGTTATTCTCACACAAAAAAAAAAAACATGCTAGACCCGTAGATTTTATTTTCTGCTTTAAACCACCAGTACTTGGCCCAGCTATCGAGTCCGAGCCTCGACCGACCGGTACGCCGATCCGGGTCGAGGCTCAGACTACTGGGCGCAGGCATCCCAAACCTACGTCTGATGTACAGAAAAAAAAAACAGGAAAAACAAAGCGACAAAAAGAAATAAGAAATAAGAAAAGGAAAAAAAGAAATGCACGGCCAAAGAGAGGGTACTGCTTCCCCGCGGGGGAGAGAGAGAGAGAGAGAGAGAGAGAGAGAGAGAGAGAGAGAGAGAGAGAGAGAGAGAGAGAGAGAGAGAGAGAGAGTCGCTGCATCAGTTGTTGTTGTTGTTTTTCCCTTTGTAGGATTTACGTTTGATCTTTTTTTTTTTTTTTTCGTGCTATGTGTCATCCCTGAAATGCCACAGCCCGGCCTCGTTGGGCTGACCGGGCTGCCACTCGGGCGACCCCCGCTCCCTCAGGCGCGTTAACGGGGATGCCCCGCAGCCCATGTATGGGCCAAGTACTGGTGGTTTAATCAAAAGGCTCCAACATATAAGTGGGGACCTCGTTTCATCACATCGACGGTGGCCAAAGGGATGTATTGCCATGGTATGCATACCTAGGGCAAGGTCCCACTAGCAGAGTGGATTGGATTAGGCACCCGAATGTGGATGGCTTTTGAACAGAGTTGCAAGAGACAACGGCCAAAGGGATGTACAGCTGTAGTATGCGCGTCTAGGGGAAGGTCAACTAGCAAAGTGGATTGGATTAGCCACCGGAATGTTGATGAGTTCTGAGCAGAGATGCAAGAGAGGACGGCCGAACCGATGTACTGTTATAGTATGCACGTCTAGGACAACATCCCACGAGAGATGGTTAATGGAAGACCCGAACTTCGGGGTTTTCCGCCGCATCACTACACGCAATGTCGTCGAAAATTTTGCGAACAAACTATGCAGGCTCAT